TCCAAAAAGAAGAAGAAGAAGAAAATGAAATAAAAGGAAGACAAAATACAAATCGCCTATAGCGAAATGACTGCCAAAATAAAAATTGGTAGTGAAAAAGTTACGACTATTTTGTTTCAGCAGGGTTTCTTGCAAAGAAAAACTAAACAGGCACATTCTTATATTATTTTCACTTATTCATTTTGCATAAATCTCTATTGTTTTTCAATTTGTCAAAAAGTGATTTTCTCAGTTCTTTATTACAGAATTGACAATGAAATAAGGTACAACCTTTAAAATTGTTTTTACTGAACATTTTTTTACAGTACATGTTTGTTCAAAAGCAGGTCACTTTGAGAACCGTCAAATAAGACAAAAGTGACCATCATACCATATATGGACATGATCCTTGTAGAAACCAGACACCAATACTCGCTATACGTCATCGGATATTGGCAATGGGCAAAAACCTCTTTTTAAACAAAAAGCCTGGCGGTCAGCAAGGTGAAAGCATGGAGCTATAACAGCTCTATGATAAAAGATTGTCTGGCTTCGTGTGTACAACATACTCACCACTCATTTTTTCTTATAAGGTTATTATGTTTTACACACCTAAAATACTTTTATCGAAAAACCTTTATAAAGCAGACATAATGACGGAAAGCATGATATTAATGTTATCATCACACATGGCTTTACCAGCCTAAAAAGAGCCTCGAATATAATGGCTGACAGCGGCGTGGCCGGAATCTTTCAATGGTGGACACATACAGCCTGGGGTCATTGAAGAAGGAAGATTTGTGTCTGAATTGAGTTTTTTGTAATAATATATACAATAAGGCCTATATAATATTATGTAAGGAAGCAAAAAATATTAACGGACTAAATTATAATACATTTAGTTTCTACTAAAGTGTCATTAAGGTATTTCCATTTCATTTTTTGCACTTTATGAATATAATAAACTTGTAAAGTACAGCTACGTCTCACGTTCCTAGACCATTTTCTTCACGCCTATATATATATATATATATATATATATATATATATATATATATATATTCCTGGATGGGAGTATCTTGGATAGGCCTACGTGCCCCCACCCCTACCCTCCCCGACCACCTCTTCCTGGCTAGACCACTGCTGAATGCAAAGCGTAGCCTGAGAAGGTGTGCGTGTTGGGAATTGATCAGATTTTCATGCTGGTTTTGTACTGCGGCAGAAGAAAGGGGAGTTTAAGTTGTATCATGAAGTGAAATCGAAGTGAAATTTTAGCGACCCCTTCCCGCCTACCCAGCAGTAGTTGGAGGAATAGGGGCACCAAGCACAGGTATGTCACTCATGACAACCGGAAGTGGAGGTAGGTTAACGGAAGGTCGTGACATGAATAAGAGCTTCCGGTACGTTAATAGGGCGGGGTTTCATGTTTCGGGCGTCTAAGGTGTCTTAATAAAATCAAATGTATACCGTTAAAGGGATAGCTTACTCGTCTGTGTATAAAAAAAACAAACGTAATCACTAATATATGAAACTAATTTTAAAGGAGGATTCGAAATTTCCTTATTCAAGACTTCAGTCATCTAAACGGGTCACCATCACAACAACTACACATTCTGAAATGTTTGCATAATTAATACCTCTCCTTCAACTCAAGTTCTCACTTTATTGAGACTGGAATAAGAGAAATAGGCCTTCAAACTTATGTTGCAACATCAGCCTATAACATGCATGTATGACTTATGAATGTGTTTACGAGGGTCTTTAATATATATATTAGAGTTGACTTTTTGCCGAGATAACCCAGTTTCACCACGGATCACTTTTGTTGCTATTGGAAAGTCGCTCTTAAAGCTACGAATTACGAGGGAGGAAACATACCGAGCTCTTTAATTTGCCATTCCTACAGCCGAGTTATTCGGAGTTGAGGTATTACCAGGCTTGCATGGTTGACTTAGGATTATCCAAGGGGTACGGAAATCGACTTAAAGGGGGTTAAGTTTGCCCCGGGAGGCGCCGCCGTTCAGTGGGGGTGATGATAAAGTCTTTGATGAGATGCTCGGTACCCCTTCTAACCCTGATACTCCTTTAAATCGGAAGTTAGACCTTGGTGAAAAGTTAGATCTCTTTGTTATCCCTCATGAAATCCTTAAACACCGGAACATCTCAATGATTTAACATGGTTTTACGTTTAAAAAATCTTTAATCATGACACTATTACATCTGTTCAGAGATGTTAAACTGTGTTTTCCACGCTAACCGTGCTACTGTGAGGATGGAATGTCGTATTTCATGAAAGAAATTAAACAAATAAAATCCCAAGTACAATGAACATAGATTTGATGAAAAGTTACTACCTTATATTGTTTTGAAGAAATACACCTTCACAGATTATACCACTCAATATTAAGAAAATTTAGAATGAACCTAAATATTAAGCAAAAGTCAACGAATCCACAGTTCTTGGAAATATATTCTATAGCCTGAACTCTAAAACAGTCACTTTCGACAGTAAACATGCCAGGTCCTACTTTATCAAAAAAAATAACACATTTATAATATTGTACATCGGTCACCAAAAGGTTTCCAACTGAATCATGTCAATAACTTTAAACTATGCAAAAGGAAATATAAAAACTCAAATCGCATAATAATAACAACTAACTGCTTTAACAGTGATAATCAAAATGTTAAACTTATTGGTTTTATGCGTAACTTAACGAATTGTGTTGAAGTATAATAATATAATAATAAAAATAATAATAATAATACCCAATATTTATTAGGCGCTTAATACTGGTATCTCTAAGCGCACCATAGTCTGACTAAATAAAAAAGTATCGTGACACATATGCGAATGTAAGTGCTCTTTCGTTTGTTAGAATTATATGAAGGTAAATACTTCCCAGAATTCCTTTTTAGATTATTTGGTAAATACCTCTGGTTTTTGTTCATTCATGTCCTTACTTTGCACGTTTGTGCAGTATCACGTCATAATATAATTCAGGAAACAAGGGCAACCACGCTCTAGACGAGTATTACGCAATCTCATCCTTCAAAACAAAATTCTGAGAGGCTGAGTGACCACAAATTTTCACCAAATCACGAGGATAAAAAATAGTATTGAATATGTTGATCGTTAGTTTCAGCCTCAATGTTTGCGACGATACAGCTTTCGAGGATTTTATTGGGAGATTTAAAAGTAAAACTTTGCAATGACAAGGTCTTTATCGGAACACGTGATGCATAGTTGCCATTTTTCTATACGTGTTGATGTTGGATTTTATGGCGTTTTCCATCATCGTTGGATGATTTCGCCAAACGCAAGATACAGTATCTAATAAACCGTTAACGTTCGTGATTGGAACCGTTACAATTTCAATCAGTCAGTTCGGAAAAGACAAAAATGTTTTACCAATAACAGATAACTCGGTAAAACCCACTGGACTTATATGGGTGATAATAATCATGATAATGACAATAAATACAAATTGCATATAATGTCGTTTATGACATCATCAGCAAGTATTGTAATCATGAAGAAACTGTCAAAAAAGGTATAACGTATATCAATGGACATCCATTATGATTCTATGGAGCAGACTCTCTCTCTCTCTCTCTCTCCCTCTCTCTCTATTTTTTTTTCTCTCTCTCTCTCTCTCTTTCTCTCTCTCTCACTCTTTCTCTCTATCTCCCATCTCTATTCAAAGATAATTAAGAGGACAAACACTCAGATATAAAGTCTGTTTTGATTTTAATCGAAATGATCTGGACAGACAGTCTGTGGAACAAACAAATTAATTTCTTATTAATAGGGGTCAAATGCCCCCAATAAGCTATTTCTGGTCTGGTAAACCACTCTGTCCAATAATGGGAAATAAACAATATCCTAGGTCATTTTTATCGTTTTTGCTTTTCGCCTTTGTATGACCCCTCTCTCTGTCTCTCTGTCTCTCTCTCTCTCTCTCTCTCTTCTAATCTAGTCTCTTTCTTTCCCTCCTTCTTATTTTTCTGCTTTTCCTCACACTCTCGTTAAAAATTAAGCCCATCCATATACTTTTACTCTTACGACGGTTATTGTTCATTTTTTTTTTTACAGTTGGGCCTATTCATTTTACCCGATCTGTACACAAAATTAGACTGCTTATTACTGTACAATTCAAAGCACGATGAGTTTGTGAATTACATGGATTAAGTTAAATAAATTGCTGAATCCGGGCATTTACTCTCAAATCCATTTCATAAAGTCACTCATGCAATCCTCTATCATTTCTTTTAATAACATATTAGACCATAAGAGAATTGGCGCCTTTGTACTTCACTGATTGGCGCCCATCATTCTTCTATTCAGCAAGTAACCAATCACAATCCGCGATCAATCGATCACGTGACAACTAAGCAGCGCGTGGCGTCCGCTGACCGAAAATACGAAGGCGCCATATGATACGGGCGGGCGATCGCGAAGAGCGCGCTGTATGTGCGTTTATTTGTTTTTCCGTGGTGTTTGAGATCAATATTACTCAAGCGTGAGATTCAGTAATTTAAAGCTCTTTTACTTTCAAACCGTTATTTGGTGAATATTGGGGGAGCCCGTGACTCAACTATTGTCATTAATTTGTGGTGTCGAGACAAAGTTCGGATTGAAAGATGGATCTATGTCCATTCATGAGTCACGCTCGGTCTGAAATGGAAATAATGAGATAGGATGACACTGTGACATGGCTCGCTTGATGGAGGGAGAAATTAGTGACTGCTATTATCTATATATCTTCCATAATGTCAAATCATACATCAATTCGATGCAAAAAGCACTGCGTTATTGCCAGCTATTATTTGCGGTGCTGGAGCGATGGTTTCTTCGTGTTCAGTACCTGACTTTTGTATGTACCACAATGGCGAATAAACATTTCTTTGCACAGGCATTATAAATCACTCAACTTCTTTCTCGGAAAAAATCAATTTGTTTAGTTAAGCAATCTACCAATTAACCATTCGGTCATTTAAAGAATGCAAATATTACTCACGTCCTTCGCTGGTCCCAACGTTGATCTCATCACTCCAATCTCCCGGTCCTGCACTGGTCACTCCACGGATCTAGCGAAATTAAAGAAATGATATGAACAATATTACTTCCAATATCAATTCCTATTTTCAGTGTTCACCACAGGACGTACAAGACATGACACTAGGCATAGTATGGTTATGTATTATAAAGGTTTGTTTATTTAAAATAAAGTTAACTTGGAAACTAAGATATTTATGCTTGAAGCATGACATTATATTGCAGAACTAGACATATTGCGAAATGAAATAAAGGTAGTTAATCTCTTTAAACATATTAAAAGAATAGGTAACTCCAAACATGGGAAGTTTGTTTTTGGTAACAGAGTAGTCGTGTAATATTTTTAGAATATTCTTGGTAGTCCATCTAATTCCCGGCAAGCAAACTACATGACATGGTCGATGAAATCACATTTCAGTCAAGATGATACATTCTGATATTCTCAGCAGTAATCTCTACAATCATGTCCTACATGATAGTTCAGGAAAGACAAGAGTATAAACTCTTTTTTTTAATACATTTCTGGGATGCTCTATTCTTCATGGCTATGATAAAGAATCCATGTTGAGCGAACAGTGCATAACATGTTTCAAAGTAGATCTATATCTCTCTAAGTTTCACACAAAACTATTTATCTTGGCATTCTAACACTCGACACATTTAAACTATTGGCACGCCTATACGAGACACAGTATTCGATAATGACCATGCGTTTTAGTCAAACAGTTTTAGATGCTTAGACGCTTGATTTCTAGTTAACAAATGTCAAATACTTCCCATCAGAGCATGGAACAGCTCTAATCTATATTTACTCTATTTACAAACATAAAAAGAATGAAACATAGGCTTGATCCAGATATACAATCTAGGTTAGGGATAGGTGACCTATTTCTAAAATCAAGTACATTAGCGGATGTTATAATGTCAAACATTTGTCAACCTTAAGCCAAGTTTGTGTTCTTACATGTCAGGTATGCTAATTAAATCTGCTACTAGAAGTTTATTCACCAATAAATTTTGACGAAATGCCAAGGTGATTGTGATCTTACAGGGTGCAATCGATAGTACGGAACATGTTTCTATAATTACAGGATTGTCGTCTGGTAATACCCTTCCATATTCGATCACTTGGAACCAGTCACTTTTGGCGCGTTATCGTTTTCTCGATGCGGACAAAAAATAACACGTCATCAAGGCACCTGTATTGCCTGATCCTGTCGATAGAGCTCGGAGATAAGGAGGAGTTGTTGGCTCCGTGACATTTCCACGGGAAATTTTGATTTGTGGGACCCTCCTCCCATCATTTTTTTTCTCTCCACAATTCCTTGTTTTAATGTTGGAGAAAAGTTTGACATATAAAATGTCACCCCTGAAACACACGCTTTATTTGAAAACTCGTATAGACATTGGCAGACGAAATCTGTTCAGATATCAAACCATCGTATCACGTAGGACGGTGGGTTTCCGAATCAATGTCCGAGGTTTCTATTATATTAAAAACTTTAGCTATGTGAAGCCCTATTTATAGAAACCGCAATAACTGATAAGTTATGTCGGGGGATATCTCGATTCTTGGAAAATTGTGTCATGATTATTTAAAATGTTTGAATACAAATATTCATTTTTAATTTCTTCATATTGTTTATCATAACATCATATTTCTTTACGTTTTCCCCGTTCTCCCTCCCTCCCTTCCTCCCCCCCCCCTTTCTCTCTCTCTCTCTCTCTCTCTCTCTTTCTCGTCTCTTTCGCTTTCTCTCTCTTTCTCTCTGTCTCTTCACATCTGTCTTTTAGGATCCCAATTTGATACGTCATAATATTTCAGTACAGAACATTCGTGATTCTCATAACAAATAAATTACGATTTCAAGAAGAAGGCTTTAAATCTTTTCTTGTTTTCAAATAATGCTCTCTGTCGAGAAATAAAGTAGGCCTACATGATGTGGAACAATCGATTTATTAAGGTATGAGTTGGGTGCATACGATAGCAGAGAAAAGGCAAAGACCGCCAACATTGAAAATCTGATTTTCTGTGATCAGACAGCGCGATATAACTTTTACCTAAATCAAACCATTGCATCAGGGTTTTTTTGCTTGGCCAATCCCATGATTCCAAACATACTTTATAAACCATCGAGATTTCGACAATTTGTATATTTGATCCTTAATCTAGCTTTATCTAGTAAAACAAATTCAAAGCTGTGTTGGAATTGGGTTTGGGGTTACGGCTATGTTTAATGTTTACATCTAATTTTGAAAATTTGGTTATTTGGTTAGCGTTAGAAATTGACCCCAAAGCAATTGTCACCGAAGCACGTGTTTGGTATATTGTACAATCATTCATACTGACTCATCCATGTTCTGCTCTCAAATTATATTTGAAACGGTTTTCTTATCGGTCCTGTTAACATCAAAATGTGTCACGAAACAGGACCAACCTGTCAGCTCTTTTATCCGTTCAATCATCTTTATAATGGTGAAAATCAACCTTTATAATGATGAACATCAACAATCTGCTTTCCTGTGACCCAATTTTTCACAATGTGATATCGGTCATTGAATCAACTAGTCACCAAACAGTCGGTATGTTGACAATAAAATGTCAAGTCATTCAAAAAGTGGTGATAAAAGAGGAGAAAAGAAAAGAAAAATTGTCTGAGCAAGTGCATTAGAGCGGTAATTGTGCCAACACTATAATCATTAAATGGGCAGTCCACATTAATAGGGTTTCCCCCTACCTTCTTTCTTTTTCTTTCTACCCTTCCCTTTCTTGTCACTCTCTCTTTCTCTCTCACCACTTCTTCTTCTCTCTTTCTCTCTCTCTCTCTCTCTCTCTCTTTCTCTCTTTTGTCATTTATCTTCTTTTCGATTTCCTTGTCATATCTCGCCTTGGTCTAGCCACATCTAGCCAGCCGTTGTATATTGTATTGCAATCACATTTTTATGTGTGTGAAATAATATGTTCTTCTTAAGTGTATATTTGTTGGTTCAATTTTGTTTATACTATTCAATTTCATTGTAAATCAACCATTATGAGTTCCTGAACTTTACGTGTTGATGTTTTTAAACCGAATAAATAAATAAATAAATAAATAATCAAGTTGTGTTTAATAAAAGTAGAAACATACGAGAAACAAATTAGTGAAAATTTGAACGTATGATTGAAAAATTTCCTAAGGGAAATTATGTAATTTTTTGAAGATTTTTTTTTAATACAGGCAAATGGGAGGGACCTTGCAAAAAGCGTCAAAGAATTGCTTATTTGTGTTTAATTTATCAATATCAGGGTGGACTTTCCTCTTTTTTTTACAGTTTGGTTGTCGCCTAAAATTTTAGATATAAACAATGATTTTGTTTTACCCTTCCTCAATAAGATCATACTATACGTTTTCATTCTAATCACAAAAATTGATTATATACATTTTTTTACTGGTAGAGTCTTTCTTATCACATTTTACATAAATGTTGATTTGTAGAATATTAACTTTAAACGGATCCTTTAAAGGTACTATGTCCCATTTGCAGGCCAAAAATATGAAAAAGTTAAATTCCAACTGCATTTGAAAGATAATACTAAGTTCTACAGCATTTGAGGTTGGTTGCAAAAGGGACATAGCACCTTTAAACAAGTGCATAATATATTGATGTTTACTCAAGGTAGTATCAATGGTTTTAAAAGCAATGCATGACTTACGATACAGTAAGCAGTCGAGATAATCAAAATTCAATAGCTAAAAGAAAACAAAAAATACGTAACATGAAGGGAAGTGTTCACATTGCATTGTCCACTGTTTCGTGATTTTTAGGAAATTATTTGACGAATACGAATATCTCTGTTCGTTAAGACAATGACTTTCAATAAATAAAATGTAAACTTGGTTCAAGAATAGCAAGGATGGGGACACATGTTTCGGGATTTTCCTAATATGTAATACCAAACTCTGTGTTTAAATTGATCCGGTAACATTGTCTCAGATTCTGAAACAAAATCCTGGATTTAGCTCATGCTGCAATGATAATTATAAACCTTTAGGTCAGTCAGAAACCCCATGACTTTTACAAGCCGATCGCCTGTCTGATTATCAAGATATTTATGATAGAAAATAGAAACCAAATTTTGCGTTTGCCTAACGGTTTTCATAACACTCATACAGTCTAATGGGAAAACGAGTATGGTAAAATCGATCACTCAAAGATTTTTTACTTTTTTGAGGCACTTCTTGATGATTTTGAAGCGCGATTTTTTTTAGGGCTTCAATATTACACCATATCACAGACACTTATTACATGTAGGGCCATGTATCTCAGATTTAACATTGTTAAACGATGCCTTTAAGCTCCTACGACGACAACTTAACCTCAGTCTACGTCACTGTGGTAGGCCAGCTGTGTTTCTACCAAGTATAATGCGTGATATGATCCCATATAGCAAGAAGCAACATAACTATGAAGTACTAGTCATTTTTTGTTTGGATATTCATGAAGTCATTCCTACCTTGATGACGTAAGCAGTAAACGGATTAAGACCGATGAGGGTGCCATTTACTTTCTCATCCTCTGATCTGATCGTGATCTCTATGCTCTGATTTGATCTCATCTCGCTCTGTCGCCAGAATTGAAGCTGTAAGGATTACAAAAATAAAAGATTGATTCAACATTTTTCTTCTTTATTATTTTTGGTGCCCCATTTTCTTAATTAATTAAGTTACCCCCCCCCCCCCCACCCTGGAAATCAAATATTATTTGTAAAGAATACTGTATAACTGCAATGGTGGTGACGGTAGTGTTCGAGTTGGGAATTATTAAAATAATGCGGATGATGGTGAAGTGCTAACATTAGCAATTGTGATTGAGGAGATGACAAATTGAAGACGATGATGCGTTGGTGATGACGACGACAAGAAAGAAACTGATGATAGCTGTATTATTGAAATGATTATGCTTTGTCTGATTCTGATGATGGGATAACTGTGATGATGATGCTGATGATGATGATGATGATACTGATATTGATCATGATGATGCTGATGATAACAGCGATGATGATGTTGAAGTTGATGATTCTGATGATGATGATGATGATGATGATGATGATGATGTTGATGATAACAATGATGAAAGTGGAAGAGATTCTTTTTTAATGACAGGGTATACAAGAAGTTTAGTAATATTGTTGATGCTTAAAGAAATATAGTGATGATACTACCAAAATACGGATACTGTATTTATTCGTGAAGATGTCTTACCTTATATTCGTGAATGATGCCGTGTGGAGGATTGGGCCTAACCCACTGAAGTGTGACATTAGTCTCTCCAATCTCAAGGACTTCCAAACCAGTCGGCTTGGGTGGTGCTGCATTCAGAAAAGAATGTCATGACTTTCGGCACAATTATTAACTTCCATCAAAAAGGGAGGTAACGGGTGAGGAAAATACTATGTTTTTCATACGACACGGATTCGAATTAAAATATTCTAAGGCCTCCTGTAAATACATGACGGGGCAAAACCACAGCGTTTTTGTTTTGTTTTTTGTTAATGACGACGTTAGTGTAATACGCGTCATATCACATTTGTTTTGGTGGTTTGCCGCGTCATATTTGAACTCTGCCGTTTCTTGTATTGGCAGGAGCCTAACTTAAAAGGCAGCATGTACTGGTACAAGTGTCTGAATTTGAACACTCTGCTGCTTTTATCGCTACGAAGTAAGTGCATTTATTGGTGGATATGTATGCTCATCCTCTTATTCACAACCCAACGTTGAATTTTGCTGGCATGAGATATTTGTTATCTCCAATAATTAATTACTATCATTCTGATTATCACCACAATCCTTCCATCAATCTTTTCACATTTTCTTTATCAATTCATTATGATTCCTCAGTTTTCCTACGAATACCTACGTGCGACAAGAGTTGTCCTCGAAATTTCTTGTGAAAACGGCCCATAGCCTTTCAACGAGGCAGCTCTAACAGAGAACCGATACTCCGTGTACGGTGTCAGGAATCCTATCTGTACCACGGTCTCTGTCGTCGTAGCCGTCAACGTACGATCGTTCTTAGCATCGAGGAGCTGATACTCGTAGTGAACGATGTCTCCGTGTCGTGTACCGCATGGGGGCTCCCTCCATGAGAATTCGATTTCCCGTGACGTCACAAGGTCGACGGTGATCGCGTCTGGTGCCTCGGTCGGAACTGCAAGGTAAAAGAAAAGGTTCGGCATTCTTGTTCCTTAAATAATTCTTTACAAAATAGTAGTGTGATTATTTAAATAAAAAAGATTGGTGGAATCAGCATTGGCTAAGAATTCATACTGACCAGTACCAGGGAATCATTATAAAGAGGAAAAGGCCCTGTCAATTTTGATGCTTATAAAAACGTATTTTGCTGAGAGCCAGAAAAAGTGATGACTTTTTAATCGCAATAAATTGATTATAGAACTACTATTTTTCATTTTTTGGTATTTACTTGAAAATTTTCTCTGGTACTATTTCATTTAACGAGATTACATTTAACTCTTAATTTCGAGAGAAAAATCATCTTCAATAGCCTCGTTTATCCCTATTAAAAACGTGTGAACGTTACAAAGGCCTACGATCTGTATTTAAAACTGGCCATTTCTATTAGACATCACCCGATTTCTGCGGAAGTACAACGAGACGAAGAGTACTGCACCTCAGCCACGACCAGCCAGACAGAGCCAGACAGTAGGATATTGAAATAGTGTTATTTGATGATATTTATATCTTATTAAGATATAGGTCATTTCAGACATCAGCACAATGGGATAATTGTGTATATTTTTGTCTCAATTGTGTCGTGACGAAAATGATTCGATTCTTACTTGTTTCTCCTGTCTGTACGACAACCACCGACATAGATCCATTGCCGGCTTCAGTGACCGCAAACACTTTCAACTCATAGGTCGAGAAGGGTATCAGCGAATCGATCTCAACATCTCCATGGTTAGCCACTACGGCTAACTCATGAGTTGGCCAATCATCGTCGAGGAGACATCTGTCTTGACGAACCAGACGGTACGATACAACGTAGCTGTTGATTGGACATTTTTGGTTTGGCGGGGCGTTCCAATTTAGACGAATGGATGTGGGGTTGTCACTGGTTGTTTCGGCAAGGACTATGCTGACTTCAGCCGACACTGAAATATTTGGTAGAATAGAAACAAGTCTCTATGAGTTAATAAGCATTTACCGTAACATTAAGTTACGTTATAAACGTTACGGATTGCTACGGTAGAGGCAGGAAAGTAATGGTCATTGTGACATTGATTCTATTGGATTAATTCAATAATCAAAGGATCATGCGAGACGAGAATAATATTAAAAATATGCATGACTTTAACGCCATTCGACACAGGATTATCATCCTAAACTTTTGGAGCATCATAAACTTTTGAAACAAAATTACCGGCTCTCATTAGCAGCTCTACTAAGTTTGATTATTTTTGTATAGGAAATACATTTTAGTTTTAATAGTAGCTATGACTAATAATAATGATTAGAATGAAATAAAATCCAATAAATCATGAATGAACATGAATGTGTTTTATTTTGGGGGGACACAGATCGACGAAACATACCAACTGCGTTCGTGATGAGTTTCTTCCAACTGCTGAATGGTCCCCATCCTTTCCGGGTACGAGCTCTGACCCGGAACTGATACACCTCACAAGGCTCGAGATCATCCAATGTGACGTAACGATGTGACGCGGGAATCTTGCTTGTCTTTGAATTTAGGGCAGAGTCCTCAAGAGCTTCCAGCTCATAGGCGTAGAAGGTGATGTCTCCACAACGATGTCCGCAAGGCACTTCTTCCCATGACACGTTGAGTTTGGTCGGTTTGTTTGGGAATGTCGATGGTTCGTTGAGCGTGGGTGAGGCAGTCGGTGCTGGAAGCGAAAGATAAAGGTACGGTTACGAACGTGTACAGGTGAACAATTCAGTCAATTATTACCAAACGCTTTACAGAACACTCTGTATGTTTTTATAATTTAGTGATTCAATATATTTATCAAACATGGTCATTCAATAATAAATAAACCTTTATGCGTTTTAAAAGTGAAATACATCACGAGTAAATATGGTTTATGTGTGCTAAAATATTCTTAAGTGCCGTTCCGCGTCTCATTATTGCAAATCATAAAAAGAAATCCCATATCGCGATATATTTTGTGTCAGTGAATGAGGTGTATTGAGATTGGAGTGGGGTGAAAAAACGACATGATAAAAAATATACACTAAAAAAAGATGAAATAATAAGACAGTTTTGAGGAAGATAGTAGGAAATCTTTTGCATATGTCATCGAACAATAATTTGTGTTCATCATGTTTTGTGATGCTTACGAGCTTGTGCAGTAACTATGGTCGATGTGACCTCTTGTCCGGCCGTTGGTGCATCCGTCCTGGCCCATACCATTACCCTGTACGTGGTGAAGGGCAGCAACCCTGATACTACGGCCGACGTGTTCTGGGTCTCGACGTCCGACGTCCTCGTAGCGGTCAGTCGCCTTATGGTCGCATCACACTGGTCGGTGTTTGTTGGAAGGTAGCGGAGGCCGTAGCTGACTATCGGGCAAGGCTGTGCTGCAGGAGGGCTCCAGGTGATGTTCATCTCCGCAGAACTTAGGGTCTGGAGGTTGAGTGACGTAACGGGACCAGGAGCTGTGATCAGGGGTGGATGTGAAAACAGAGCACTTTATTTATCTGGGAATCTGTGAAGAGCCCTGAAAACTCAAACCTGTGGTATTATTGGTTAAATATCAACCGAGTAGGCTTCCTAATGTTAGGAGATTACTTGACAAAGATTAGTGATCTTGCGTGGGAAATGATCCTCTAAGACAATAAAACGTTTTTGTTTTTAAGAACGTTATTATAACGGTAATCATGATCATAATTCTAGTAAATCTTTATGCGTCATTGTTATAGACATATTTTCTCCTCAATTTCTCACCTGTTTAAAATAATGTAACTTATTTGTCTTACAGTGAATGTAAGACATCCAATGGTAGTCGATGGAAACCGTCAGCTCTATTGTCTTATCATTTACTTCCAATGGCTTCAAAAGTCAAATTCTCTCATCATACCAAGGTTAGTCTCTACTGCTATACTTACGGGAGGCAGTCGTGCCAGCAAAAAGCAGGTTACTTGGTTCACCGAATCCTGCAGACGTCTCGGCTTGGACCTTGAAAGAATACATCAAACAAGGCAAGAGCCCGTACACCGCAGCTAGGGATTCGGGATCATGTACCTGACCGTTCCAGTATAACCCGGAAGGTGACTCCAGTCGATAGTGGTATATGACTTCCGGTCCGTGACGGTCGCCACATTCCAGTGTGTTCCAGCGAAACTTGAGGCTGCTCTGGGTTCGTTCCATGACATCGACTACCATCACTTGTCCTGGAGCTGAGTAGTATAACAAGATCCAATAATTATATTTTCAAACTTAGCTTATAAGATCCGATTTACAAACGGTTGCTTGTGACAGTGATACTACACGATAGCCAACAACACTTGTCTTTTATGGCATTGCTCGCACTTACTTAGGTCAATGTGTTTACTTTTCATTGTCACTGCAAGTTGAAAAAAGTAACAATTAGTAAACATATCTACGAGTAAAGGGTTTAATCCCCAAGGCGATCGATAGCAATTCGTTTTCGTTAAAGAGGCAATACGTCAAGCCATAGAGGATGTCGTTTGTTGACAGCCAGAGAGTGTCTGTGTTGTAGTGATATGAGTTCCTTTCTGGCTCTCAAAACAAGATATATCAATTTTCGTAGAATTAGATAAACAACGATACCTGCAGCTCGTGTTTGGAAGCTTCTTGTCGCAACCGGAGCCATACCGGCATCGCTCACGGCTTGAACATAGACATCGTACGTCGAGTAAGGCTCCAGATTCGACAATCGTATGAACCAATGCGAAGTGTTCCCAGCAAACCGAAACATCCGAAGGCTGCTGCTGATCGGCCCACACATACCAAGGTTTGTAAGAACATAGGTGACCCGGTAGTAGAGTATGGGACACCCGTTGACCTCTGGTGGAGACCACGTGACGTCAGCTTCGAATGGACGTGTGTCGTAGGTATGCACGAGCATGGTCTCTATCACACCGGGTTCTGGGTAAGAATGTATAGACAAAATAAACGCGGTTGTTGAGGTTGCCATAACTTTAAGTTTTCTAGGCCGTACAGACTCGCCCGTCGTTTCGATGGTGTGACCTTGTATCCCACCGCTGCCACCATGTCAGTTGAATGAAAACATAGTTAAAGCTCTTTATCAAGGTCACTCAATGGCAAATAAATACATGGCCACTATACGCAAGTGGCCTGTGTAGAGAGGTGGCCACATAGACAGATTTTACTGTACCAGTATTCCTTTTAATCTCTATTTTAATATTGTTCTTTGCTTAAACATGCTAAGTAGAGGCCTAACAAGTCTCAAGACTAAAAAAACTGGGCCAACCAGATGGAACGCAAAAACAGCAATACTGTTATTGGTTACGAAAACCGACCTTCGAAACATATCTACTTGTCATTGGACCCTAAAGATGTTTTTTTTAAACTAAGAAAGCTGTACTTGCAAGATTAGACCCTTTTTGCGTTATTTTCATTTATGAGCTTAATCTTGGACAACATTATATGGATAATATGGCGTCACAGATATTACCGCATTTGTATTCTTTATTTTGTGTAAATGTACCAGAGAATATAGAATGCATACCTCCTCCTTGTGTTCGCACGTGGAACAGTTTGGCGTACCGACCATACCCTGCCGATGTCTTTGCCTTGATCCTGAACTCATATGGCGTACATGAAGCCAGATTGTTGATAGTCAATGACGTCGCGTTTCTGGGGGAATCCCCCTCGGTAAGAGCAGCAATGGGCACGTTCTCATTGGAAAGTTCGTAATGGAAGAGCAGTATACCACCATGGGTCTGTCCACACGGTAGGTCCCACGTCAATGAGATGCTGTCCTCAGTAGTTTCCACTAAAGTAAGTTGGGTCACGTTCTCAGGAACTGGATTTAAGAACGGAAGTGAACAATATCGCCAGGTACTATTTACATGAATTTACCATAAAATGGACACATATCGTATCTGTCGTATGTACGAGGCACATAGATAAGAAGTGAAAATGGTTCGCTTACTGATCACTAAAATCCACTTACATTCTTCAGGTTGTTACAAAAGAATTAAATTCGGCTGTATGCGATTATGATAATCGTCTGCCCATTTTTTTCGGGTTCATCTTAAAAAGAAGCTTCGGCATAAATATTTTTCTTTTCATCATCGGAAGGTAACTTTTATCTCAGTATCTTTTGATTAATTACTTGAAACCTATTATTTTCAAGAATAAGATAAATGAAGTTTCACCTGATTCTGCAGTGCGTATAGTCCTGTTTTGCGGTACTCCGAACCCAATGCTATTCCGCGCCAGAACCTCGACACTGTACGTCGAATACGGCACCAGTCCTGCGATTGTGAAGTCAGTCGTCAAGTTGGTGTTCCCTGCTACAATAGGCCCCTCCGTCAGTTGGGCTATGCATTGGTCCAGGACCTGCGGCGTATAACGAACGATGTATTCCATCTGACAGGCAGACTGTACGGGAGGGTCCCAGGAAAGGTGGATCTCGGTAGGGGTCGAGGTGACGCGAAGGTTCGGAACTGGGCCAGGGACTGTCAAAGAAAGGTGGGATGATTGAAGTTAGTGGTAGCAATATGAATATAAATTAATTTGGGATATCTTTTCATATGGCGGTTGATACAAATCAATTTGTTGTTGTTACATAGACCCTGATTATGTTAGAGTGAAGGTGGATAGATATATTATAAGGATGTTAATTGTAATAAGACACTATGACAATCACTTGAAGTAAATTATTGTGTAGAAGAATCACAAGAAAGGGGTTCGATGTTCATCAAACATGGATTTAAGTCAAGTCCAATATGGTAATTCAAAATCTCTAAAATTTTGATGAATTTATATCATCTCCCCAAACATATACGCAAATCATGTCCATATCTTCAGGAACCCCGTAAATGATCTCGACTAGCGTCTGCAAAATGTGATGTTCGTAAATTTGCTTTTTCAGTATTAAAAAGTGAACCTACGTGCGATTTGGAGACGTCACACTTAACATAATTGAATAGACATTAATTGATTTCAGATTTAATTTCAACTTAAATATTCACTGACAACGGACTCTTGAAATGTCGCCCCATCTTACCAACTGTAGCCGGTATGACGATGGGTATTGGTGCACTAGTAGGACCAACGCCCGCCATGTTATGAGCTGCTACTGTAAAGTTGTACATGAAACACTCTGCTAGATCGGGAAACCTGATGGTGGAAAAGGAAACATATTTTTTTGAATAAAAATAAAGGGTTTTCCCGAAAACAAAAGATTCTGCATTAGTCCACTATTGCTTGAATTAGAAGAATTTAATTGTGATTCATACAGGAGATGTTCATTGTGAATAGGACAGAGGTTAAGGGGGGCAGTAAATCTAATGGCATGTCCGGTGTGCTGTGTACTCTACGGGTCTTCCAAGAGGCACCCGGTCGATAGAGCTACACCTTGTCTCATCAGTTCCTTCTTTCATTCTTCAAATCAATATTATCACCGTTCAAGTCCTTCTCGGATGAAAGTTTATGCACAACTACGCCAATAATATTAAATACTCCTTCGTATACTTCTGACAGTTCCACGTCCAATTAGTATTCGTGACCTAAGTGTACCTGAAATATATATTAAACATGAAATTGCCCAGTTCATATCTGACCATCACTAAGGTACATCATATTCATAATTGCCCTCTATATTTTAGAGTTTATCAGCCAAAGACTTACGTGTATGAATGTTGAGAAGCAGAGACGATTTGTGTTCCCTGTTGAGCTCCTCTTAGCATCAGTAGATAGTTACTGATCAACCCCTTACGATGACCGCACGGGACCTCGCCCCAGCTCAAGGTCACACTGTCGGTTGAAAGGTCAATGACCTCTACTGCAGCAGGGGCTGATGTGGGTCCTAGAGAGGAAAATAAACTTGTTTTCACTATTCATGATCTAAAACTAGCTGCAGATTATATTTATTGAAATATTATACAGAAATAATTGCATTTCTTAATCTATGATAGCCTAGAGTTTTGTATCCCTTTCCTACCTTAAATAAATAGTCATAGTCATAGGCTTATTCCTCTGAATAATAACAGTATTTTTACAGTTGAACGGTTGCAAACTATTCCTCTTATTAAACTGTATACACCTTGCAGATTAACTTGTATATTGCAATGATTAGTGCTAAAATGAATAAAAATCATAAAGCATTGTATATTTTTAGCCCATTTTCGTATAACAAGTGTGTGTTGTCTCTTACGATCTCCGAGGGTTGTTCCAACTTCTGTAATATTCGCCCCAACGTTGTCTTCAAATCCTGGAGCAACGAATACCACGTATGATGAATATTCATTGAGCCCGTTGATTGTCCAGCTCGTTTCTGTCGTATTGAAGGTGCCTGATTGGCTGACGTCACTTCCCGAAGTTGCCTTCCTGTCAGCGCATTGGTCGAAACGTGTGATGTCATAATGAATAATGTAGTAGGCGACATCGCAGCGTCTTTCCAGGGTTGGTTCCCACGTAACGAGAAGTGATGTCGATTTGTTTGGTATTGATGAGACCGACAGTGATGGAATTGGATCTGGAGCTGGGTGGTTCATAAAACAAATGATAAACATGATAAACACAGAGAAATAATGAAAGCTGTGAGAACGAACCGTCGTCATGTGATATATTCGGCAATATTCAAGCACCCTGACCAGAGAAGATTGTGCTTTCATGAGATATCGTAGATAACATCAGGTAGAGACTGTGTCCATCAAAGTATGGAAAATGTAAAAATTTCAGACTGATTGATGGATATTTTACAATAATTATGATGCACATTGATAAAAATGAAATGCCTACTCTATATCATAACAATGCTGAAACTGTCAATTCATATTCTTATCTTGTTCTCTCTGTTAGTGTTACACAAAACAATGCTGAATCGATGACTAGCTCACTCATGGCTAAAATTGTGATCCCAAAAGATTTCAAACGAACTCCATTTCCTGTCATTTCTTTAAATTGTATCTAAATTTTGAATAACATTTTCTTTCTGTGTAATTTCCTTTTAAATTACTGTGGTTACGTTTACGCTTTCCCCCATTAGAGCCTGTTCTCATTGGGTTGAATACTTACATGCACAGGTGGTGGTTGCCGTTATCAAAGGACTCGGTTCACCTTCTCCATTCAATCCGGGTCGGACCGCAACCACCTGAAAGTCATAGGTTATCCGACTGCCAAGTGACATCACTGTAAATGTGAACGGTCCTTCTGTGACGTTTCCAGCCGTCTCCCATGCGGCAACGCCGTGTTCTCTGGACTGTACAATATACGCGGTGACCGGACCGCTACCGGTATCAACCGCAGCGTTCCATGCGTTCCACGCAAGTTCTACCGCATCGCTGTTGACAGTCACTATTGTAGGCGGTCGAGTCAAAGACGGTTGCTCTGAAGATGAGAGAAAACGGTACAACAAAATAGACTTCTTTTCATCTCTCCTCATTATTTTTTTCTCCATTATTTGAAGATTGAAAATAAGTAAAAGGACTTAGGAGTATTATGCGCCATGCGCCATCGCCATCTCGTCCATAAAACTAATATTGTCTGTATTCGTTCAGTTGATTTTACTTTGGCTGGATTTCATAATGAAAGAAATATGGGTCCTCCCTCAATTTCCTCCCCCCCCCCCCTCCTGTATATAACAATTTCCCATTTACATATTAATGAGACGACCATTCAAGGTATTGAAATTATCATATTTTGTATTTTCATTTTAGTTGACCACCACTGAACGATGGGTAATCTGAAACGTAGGTTTACTTTCAACTGAACATTTTGTTATGACAACTATTATTTTTAGTCGGGAAAAACACCTCTCTCAATAATTTGATATCACCTAAATTCCGTTGCGTTTCTAATTGTTGTGTATATATTATTCCCCTAGCAATATCCACGGTTGCATGGGCCAGACAACGTATCAACAATCGAGTTAAAAATAGGACAGGATTTCGTCTGGTCCACCGTGAACTTGTCCTTTGAGGTTTAGACTGACATTTCTTAACTCAATGCCTTTGGCTTTAACGGAAAGCATCAAGGATAGGAGCTTTCCTATTCTTACAGGTCGTGGGACAGAATGGTCCATGCACCATTGTCATGATAACAGGGGACTGCATGGAGTACTGTGAGGGATAAATGTATGTAGTCAGCATGTATGGGGTGATCAAAAGTCTACTTGCTTTAGAGATATATGGTGAGACAAATTATCAAATAAATGATTTAAAATGTTATGCTTACAGATTGCTCTTGACGGCTATAATATGAACCAGGTTTTATTTGACACAGCAATAACTACTGTATTCATTGCAGGTTCCGTACATAAAGGAAAATACTAAAATGTCTGTCATCCATTACTGTATCTCGTCACCAGGGGGATTGAGGAAGGAAGATCCATAAATTTGAGTCATGATTAAACTGGTCTTCACTTGAGACTCTTTGTTGAATGTCTGACCGTTGTTTTTTTTTACTTCTCGTGTTGTTGTACGGTGAAAATTCAAGATGTTGACAGGATATTTTATTTTGTTGAAAAAAAAATCCAAGTTAGGATATACATTTCCGAAACATAAAAAATAGAAAACAGTGTGATACCTAACCAACTACAAAACATACTAACCATGACCTTTGACATTGACGATGGCATGATCTTTCAAATTGTCGCTTGCTGACAGACGACATTCAAAATCCTGCGCGGCGCGCGTAATCTCCGTCTCCACCATTGTCGTCTGTGTCTGGTGCTTGACGTCACGTAGGGTAACTCCTGAAGGTATCTGTTTTCCCCCGGGGGTACCCGTATACACCTGTAGGGTTAGCGAGGTGTCGGTGAAGTTGAAGGTGGCGGTACAGGTGAGGGATATGGTGGTGCCGAAGTTGGAACCGTTGGATGGTGATGCGGTGAAGGACGTTATTCTTGGCGTGGGTACTGTATGGAAAGAGCGAAGCGAGGAAGAATTCGTTTAGATCTCAGTCACACCACAAGACAGACTCTAAACTGACCAATTCTTTGCCATGTTTAAAGTTAGGTCTGGTGTCGGTCTGGTGTTTCGATGGTGTGAACAGCGTATTAGAGTTACTATAGCCGTTTACTATGAAGTCTAATACATCATGAATATAAATATCAATAAACGTTATGACTAGTGCATGTATAAGCATACACATATCACTGTGTCTAAACGTGTGTAAACGTACCCTGAAATCGACCGATATAATCAAAGCATATTGTTGGCAGGGAGATTACAACCACATATATTATATTTTACATAACAGGTGTGTTGCATTGTTTGTCGCTATTGTATTTTGGGGAAGAAACTTGCAGCCGCAGATCTTCATAAATGGCCTCATTATGTAGTTGTCATTGAGTTTGAGACTTAAGATGCTTCATTTTGGTACACGAATGTAATAATAGACCCCGTTTAATTGTACGCCTACTTCTTGAACAAAAGTTTCTCTTGACAACTCAAAGGTTACCAGAGGCTTGCCAGACATAACAACAGCCACTAAATCCGAAGTGTATTCCATTCTTAAGTATACCATTACTTTTTGCAGCTGAATTAGTTAGTTAGTAACTAGAGGTCCCAGAGAGAAACATGCATAAATGGAATAAATTAGTAAACAGGTCTATTCCTACTGTTCCCAAAAGAGACTACAGATCGCGATTTTTATTTTAATCTATGCAACGCATAGAAATTAGTCACGATTGCATTAAAACAATATTTAAATAAATTCTTTCAATTCACAACTGCCAGTATTTCACCAAATATCACTTGAAGATAGTTACAAACCTTGACAGTTGACCCCAGTCCAACCATCTTCACATCCACCTGCGGGGTCACAGCTTCCCGTATCTCCGCTACAGAGGGCGTTGTTTCGACAGTGACAGGTCTGGTCACAATCGGCTCCGAAAGCTCCATTATCACATTCTGATGAATAATACGGATACCGAAAAATTATGGAAATCGTTAAATTGCAGATTTAACTAAGGATAATTCATGAGTTGTAGTGTATTAACAATACAATTAAATACCGTGCTTACATAAAGACCTACCCCCCCCCCTCCTCCTCCTCAGCAAAAAAAGGAAAAGGAAAATGATAGAATCACAGTTTGTTAACATTACTAAAGGCACATGCGTGTTCATTTTCTTAAGGGCCTACATTTTACCATCACCATCAAAATCAACATCACTCCTCCGTCACCACCATCACATTCCTATACATCAATATTCTGAGATCCAAGATCCTCAACTTACAAATTATTACTATTTTTATTTGACCCCTTTAGTTGTTATCTTTTTGTTCAAAAATTCATTTCTAGATAGCCTCGATAATATTTGCGACTTAGTTTATTTAAGAATCATTCCTAGACGAAGAGGATGCTTTTAATTTTCTGCTTCAATTCAACATTTCCCAAAGATAACCGAAATAAGAGATAAGGACAACTTTAGCATCAGTATCCCGCTGACTTTCACCTTGGTCAAAGTCACGGTCAGTTCATGACGTCACAGCAACAGGGGAGCAGGACTATCATGACAGTCATGCTATAGTCTGACTTCGTCTGGAAGGAACGGAGAGCTTCACAAGCTTTGTACGAACATTTGAGATAATTACCAACAAAGATGTGAAATTTTAAAATTTGGAATTCTGCTCTACATGTTAAACATGTTCATACTTTGTATGTTAGGTTTCTTAAAGATTTATAAAAAAAAGAAGAAGCAAAATCAAGATTTTAAGCTTATGTGGTGTACTCACCTTGCATACAGTCCACGCCGGTATAACCAGCTGCACATGAGCAACCATAGGGGGTTCCTGTACATACCAGCATACCTCTGCAATCCGTGATGTTACCAATGTCTTCACTGCATCGAAATTGGCCTTGTTGACCAAAGATATCTTTTCCTAGTGCTGTAAATAATGACGAAGACAAAAAGGGAAATATTGATGAAGATCTTCTTTCATCTCTGATGCTGAAAATATTTGTTTAATTGCATCAAATAATCTACAAGTGGCAGATCCAGGGGCTCTTGGGCATGTACCCCCTCCCCTTCCAAAACCTGCCTATTCATAATGCACCCCCCCCCCCCCGTCTCTCCTCTCTCTTTTCTACCGTAAAATTTCTATTCCTGTCAATTATGTATATGTTTTAACTGTAAATGACGACAAGCAGCCTTTCATTAAAAGAAACTATACTTTTGAAATAAGTTGTTGATATCACTATGTAAACCGATACAGATGAGATGGTTCCCTGTGCAACAGGAATAACAATTGGATAACGTTTATGACAAGCTTTCACTTTTTTATCCACATAATTTACAAGACGTAGGAAAAAGTCTTTAAAAGCTACAGCCCCAAAGTATTGAGGTCTGATCTATTTGGTAAATAGTTTCGTAATTTTACGTGTAATAAAACTAGGGCTAGGCTTTCTATATTTCGTTGAATGTTCTTCGGACTGGTTATGTCCCTTCATCCATCGTGTACCCTATCCGATACAACTGAACAGTTATTTATAAACTTGAATGAACGAATGTTTTGCATGATCAAATAATTTTGTCATATTTTTGGCAAATCCGTGAGAAAATGGAAGGCATCGTCTGGCACTCGTAGATTCAAATCCGTTTAATCCATGATTTGAGCTCGTCATTTATTCAGAATTGAGACAGTTAGAATCTAGAATAATTCATTTTCTTTAGAAGTCCACTCACGAATTTCCCTCCTAATTCTCTATTTATAACCTAATCCATTTTGTTAATGAACGGGGACGATTACTCCATGGTATTGGAAGTTGATGTGCGAGAAGTTATGAAGAGATAAGAGTCGTGACTCAAATGGGCCGTGGATAATATTGGTTGATCAGACCCCAGACGCGTATTTCCGATCAAATTGAGCATCATTTTCGGAGGCCAGTTTGGGTTAGATTTTTAAAGAAAATATAGAAAATGTATATACACAAGACAGGCATAATATATGTTTTCATATTTTCTAATACAGTGAACAAAAAGACCCTGATTATGGTATTTTTCTCAATGTATGTGTTTTATATTTTGGAGGGGTAGAGTAGGGTACATGTTACACTCGATATGTTAGTTATACCTTAGCCGCCCTAACATGTCTGAAAAGACACCGACATTAGACCGAAAACAGACCGAATAAAAAATAATATTATCAATGAAAAAAAATTGGTCACTTTGGAGTTGGGCTTGAAAATATACATGCCATAATTATGCACCGTTGCGCAACATCGAGACACTTCTAACGGCGAGGGGTCTTATGTGCAATGTGACATGTTTTGAAAAAGCCACGGGACTCTGCGCCAAGATCGTAATTACTAATGTTCTCCATAATTAAAACCATGGCACTTTTCCAAAATGAAGGGAAAATAGGGAGCAATGATTTCCTTTTATGACCGCCATCGGAGGGTCTTTTTATGCATGTTAGATTTAAAAGGATTAATTTACTACGATTTATATCATTCATTTTAAAGGATTAAGGAAATCATTTAAGTATCACGCGCGTGTAATAAATGAGCCTCCTTATAATCACACTGTTTTAATGTGTTCGATTTTTATGACCTAGCTGAGTTACTATAGCAACTGATGAAAGAATTATTAACCTAATTCTTCTGGCTTTTTGCCCGTTGAGGATTTTTATTGAAAATGAGAGCATGAATTAGATTGATTCAAATGGTGGGATATTCAAAACAGGCATTACTTGGACAGCGACACATTTTAGGGGTGCAACAGTAAAAATACATTATAATTGTTTTATAGTTATATTATATCATATTAGTAGACATGGTAGAAGAAACAAACGCTATTTCATTAATAGCGAGAGTTCCGGAACAGTCGGAAATTAAAGATTACCATCATTTTAATTCTGTAATTTTCTGTTAAGGGGATTCTGACAAATGTATGCGTATATCTTCCAATGATAAACGACAGTTGTTTTTCATTAAGAGTCTACGTAACTTCGTACTGTTGGATAGCCTACATTATGATAGAGTATGACGCCCCTAATTAATGCATGCATTTTGAAGAATTACATAATATCAAGTTTATTATGCATCGCAGAGTTTCAATGAAGAAAACATTTATAAATAAAGTACGAATAATTTTTGGACTGCATAAGACATATATTAGAAGGCAAAAACACTTTAAGAATGTGTTTTAAAATATTGTCTAACATGAGAGTAATCAGTTTAAAGCAAATTTAGGCCTAAATTGTGGCTCTTATCCCCCCCCCCCTTTTTTTTTAGTAACAGATGATCAAGAGTAGGCGATACATTTTGGCATATAATAATTGTCAAAAGTTTGTCCGACACATATAATAACCCTTCTGTAAGACAATTTTCAGCCAATGATTCTTTTAAAGGGTAAGAAAAGCGTAATATACTTGCAAATAAAATGCTTATCCTACCATTTGTACAGAGCTGTCCTGTGAAACCGGGAGGGCAGACACATTCCCCAGTGACGTCATCACAGATACCGCCATTTAAACAGTTGGGACAATCCTGATCACAACCTCGTCCCCAGAAACCAGCTGGGCACCCTGATACAAGAGAGGAAACACGGTGGTTCAATCTGTCATGCAACTTGAAATTTCAAACTCACATCATCAAACCACAGTCATGGCAATAGTCATGTTTAAGATTAAAATGAAGTAGGATAAAAAAATCCATCCCAAGCAGAATTTTATTAGGCTTTCCAAGTCAAATTCTAATCAATTTTATAAGTGGAAATACTTTTCTGTGAGATTTCCGATGTCACTGTAAACTCGTCCTATATATTTAGTATTTAATATGAAAAGAAAATGCAATTCTTTAATCAAAGTATTGATATCACATAATACAGGAAACAAAGTGTATACTTTTGCAATCTCACACAGAATAATGATTTGAACAGTTACATGATCATGGGATGGAAGCTATTTCACTGTTCTCCGTCGAGGGGTTTTGACGTATCGGTCCCGTTCTCGATTCCAAGACCTAATTCTAATTCTCTATTTCTCTTTGCCTTCTTCTCTTTCTCTCGTTCTCTCTATCATCTTCACTTTCTCTCTCTCTCTCTCTCTCTCTTCTCTCTCGCTCGCTCTCTCTCTCTCTCTCTCTCTGTCTGGCTCTCTCTCGTTCTATCCATCCTCTTCACTCTCTCTCTCTTTCCCGTCTCTCTCTCTCTCTCTCTCTCTCTCTTCCTCTCTCCCCTCTCTCTCTCTTTCTCTCTCTCTCTCGCTCTCTCTCTCTTTCTCTTTCTCTTTCCCCCTTTCTTTATATATCTATATCAATATAACTTTCTCTCCAACTTCGGAAATATGGATTTACAACCTGTTTCTGCAGACAACGGATCACATCCGTTCGAACTTCGTTTCCTAGATTTCATTGTGCACAGGCAAATCAAAGGACCCTTGTGAGTCAACTGTAGAAGTGTGATTCTGATGTTATCATTGACTCATTACTTTCTTTCAGTTTAAGGGGAAGAATCATCTACAGGTTAATACGCCACATTATTGTGTAGCCATGCAATATTTATTCATTTTGAGTAAGCACGGTTACAAATGTATTCACAGATAAATAACATCAATTAAAGAATGAAAGTTTACTTTATAACGATAATGACGATTCTCATAAATTACGATTTAGATATCTTTATTGGGATCATCAACATCACGCAAATACATCATTACCGATCTTCTGGTATGATAAGAAAGCTGCTAGCTTCGCCTCGCCCTTCACATTTCTGTTTATATTCCCTAGAATACCCCATAAAAGGATGGAAATTGCATCATTCAGCGGTTCAGTCATTTTTAACTATCACCTGGTAAAATCAATACCCTTTTAAATAGTATGTATAACATGACGAAAGAGACCCATGTGTCCTAAAATGACAATTTTCACTATTTCGACCTGTCCGAACTCCGGGCGAAACTCGTTCCCAGACTCTCACTCTAAACGTCTTTTATATGACCACCTGGACTCGTTCAATATCTGCTTTACATCAAACCGAAGGGTGCGTGGAGTGGTTCATACAGTTCTACCCGCTCCGAATGTTACTGCGCAGATTGAAGTGCGCATTGAATTTGTGAACTAATGAGTGTACATGTACATGATGTGAATAGCCTTTTCAAAATGATACTTCTTTATCACATGAGGGAAATGTTGACTTTTTGAATGATTTTATACAGTACATAGCAGAGTGTAGTAATCGTGGAATGAAAGAGAGAACCAAAATTTATTTCTTGTACACAAAATCGAAGGCAAAACATTTTAAAAAAAACATATACTCCTGTCCAATGGGCATGGTCAAATATCTGCTCCTCTCTCTCTCTCTCTCTCTCTCTCTCTCTCTATCTGTAACCTATCTACTCTTTCTCATTCATCCACTTACATATTCCAGACCTTGTCTTTAATGTAAGCATTATATCTGCTACATTCAGATGTCCATAACTTACCTCTAACAATAACTTCAACCAAACCGTGTATTTCCCGGGTTTGCTCATCAAACACAATCTCGTAGAATCCCGAATCGACCGCTTGCGCTCGTTCGATATCTACGGTAGTAGTCTGCCTTTTCCAGTCGTTTTCTGAATCACCAAGTCTTCTCCACTTCACATTGTTCATGCCCGTATCTGCCCAAAGCCTGATCGGTTCTCCCAAACCTACTCTTAACGTCCTTTTGAATGGTGTAACGCGTACTGTTGATTTAAACAAATGATATAAATAAATGTTTTGATAGAATTACGTCAAAATATTTTCATTTTATAGACCAAGAGCATGCGTGTAAATAATATACAAAAGTGTTGGTTTTTTTACCATAACCCCACCATTTTCTAAGTCTTTTGTTGATTATGTTGCTTTCTCTTTTCATGTCGTTCTTGTATGTATGTGAAGTGTCACATGGTCATATCTAAATTCAATTTAGAACAAATCGTTACACTTTATACGAGTTAAAAGAAATATAAAATTTACTTTAGGTGTGAATATGGCAAACGTATCTTTTTATCACTGACCACAATAAAAATAGAATCAGTGTAAACTTCTGAACTACCACAGATGAGGTTTACTCACATTTTGAAGGTTGTACGAAGGCTGTAATTCTCGTTGTTACATCTCCATTTTGTAACACGCACGAATATGCCTCTCCTGACGTCACATTCCCGCGTAATCTCACACCCGTGACTTCTCCTGTAATCTCGTCCCTTACGAAACTTCTTTCTCCCGACGAGAATAAACTTTCGAATGTGACATTTGAATTGATAAATCCCCCACTTCGTAGAGCTATTAGTTCTCTTGCTGAATGCGTATTTGCTGGATCTATTTGTTGATTGTCGAGTGCTGGTATAACGATGCAGGCGAAGTTAGCAAGCGGTGACAAGTTATCTGGAAAATAAAATTATACAATCAGTGGAATTATTAATTTTGATTAACAGTTATCATGAATGCTATAACGAAACAATGGGATGAATAGAAAGATTGTCCATTTTAAATAATTAGTTTGCATAGGGCCTATGGACTTATAGACTTAACATAAAGTATAACAACATGACGTTGTGTATCCGGACAGTTGATTTAAACCAACAATATATACAAAATTACTTGTAATATTTCGTGAGTTTTTTGTAAATTGCGTTAAACATTATTACAAAGGACGAATATTTATGAGTGTAAGTACTTTGTGATGCATACCTTTTGTAAAAATCCAAAGGCAAGAATGACGGCTTTGGTTTTTGTTAAGCGTTCGATTACACAACCCCAATTACACATACACAAAACATAAATATTTATAACTTGCCGTGAATCAGATTCTAAAACAAAGGACCTATTGCAGCTTACCGTTACAATATAGTGTTTTGAAAGCTGACTAATTTTCTTCTGGCTCACTGACTTTACATGAATGTCATCACCAACACTTTAACAAAAACTACACCACTTAGTAGCTTTAAATGAATTTCCCTCTCTGTCGCATATCTTAAGTATGTGTCAAGTATTTATCAAAAAGGCATATGCGGATTGAGTGTGACGATTGTTGAAAATGGATTACTAGCAGTTATTACTGATGAAAAATCTGTATTTATCCCAAATTTATGTTATCTTTCATTTGAGCATAAAATATTACCATGAAAATGTGTATAAAAACTTAGTGTAGTTTTTCACAAACATTGCCTAAAGCCTTCAAAGATGAACAACTGTTCTCATTGCCATCTTAATTGTTTTAAATGCTGTATTGAAAGAGTATTGAGGTTAACAATTACCGTAAAAGTATCTGGCGGTCATGACTTGTCAAATATGACTATTTAAAGATAAAGTTGAGTTCTGGTCATGCGATTGCATTGTGAAAGAAACCTTGTGGAATCGATCAGAAAAGGTTGATCATCTAGCATATAAGTATTGGTGTGTACTGCAAGGTTCTAGAATCATCGAAATGATAAGAAATTTGGCCCAGTCTCGGTAAAGTAACAGGTACTGTACATTGAAAGATGTATATGGGACTATACGAACATGTGGCATTAAAATCCGCCCTGATATTTATGATGTTACATGCCATATTTAGAATATTAAGGCATTTGAAGAGCCATGCTTTTCAGGGATTTTTTTTATCTGATGTTTTTCCACACTTGCATAATAACAATGATAACCCTCGTAAATTATTTTCACCTCTTCCCAGAACTCAACCACCTCTTTAAGTGTGAACTTAATATTATTTTTAAATTGAGCCTAATATATTTCCATGAAAGAGTATTCAAAGCATAATCTAAGTCTTCTTAATAAAAGAATAAAAAAACATTGTCTCAAAAGCCTGTTATAACCTTGACACATCATTAATCGTGACAAGTGATAGCTATTCCCGTGGTTGTGAAACATCCCGCTTTAAATCATTTTGTCTGCATCCTCTGTATTACGTCACTTTCACCCAGGCAGAAACAGGAATATAATAACAAGTGTCTCTAGTTACGCGTTTCCATGGCAACTTTCTCTTGCCAGTCCACTTCCAGCTATTCCCCGCCTCCACGAAGGAAATTCTAAACATCCTACGATTCTGAGCTAAAAAGAGCGATTTTCTTAAAGATGATTAAGCAATATAAAAATATTAAAGTTTAAAGGAAGAAGGTCTTGTTTGCCTTCTCCTTTTTTATTTCAAGCATATTTAATATAGCATTTCTGAGCTTTTTAATTGGTGTTGCTCATTCCATTTGATAAACATACAGAACAAGAAATACATTTATTTTTCGTAATTATCATATATTACCATTCTAGATGTGTGCGTTCGAACTTAATCTTTATCTTCTAAATAATTTTATAAAAATATCCTATTGACACGATTCAGATAATTATTTCCATCATAAAATTCTCATCAAAGATCATTTGGAAATCATAGTGCTACTATCAATACCGGTAGTTTGGGGGTATTGTGTCACACCGGGCCTCTTTGTATGTGTGTGTGTCTGTTTCTTAACTGGCGCCTCAATATCACGTGATGAAGAAAAAACAGCCAATAGGATCTCACGTCGCGCTTGACACCCATAAACACCCTCAAATTTACGTAAAGCTATTATAGCATGTGTGTGCAGCGATTCATACTTCCCCTTAGACGAGAAAAACCCGCATCTAGCGTTAGACATCAAAACAGGTTCAATATGTATTTTCATTTTAAACTGTCTTCATTTGTGAACACACACACAAACACTCCCTATCTCTCTCATTCTCTCTCTCTATCTCTCTCTCTCTCTCTCTAACTCTCTCTCTCTCTCTCTCTCTGTCTGTCTATCTATCTCTTTCCCCTCCTGTTTCCCCCGTTTCCATTAGTCTGCCTCCTTCTCTTTTTCTATCTATCTATCTATCTATCTAAATATATATATGTCTGTCTGTTTATCTATTTATCTTTATATCTATGCATATAATCTACTCCCTCTCATTGTCATTCTTTTTTATTTATATATAATATTATGTCAAATCAATGCTAGATAGACTAGCATGGAATAAATTATGACTTCACGCTTCAAATCCGACAAATCGTTCATTATCTTGTCCTTCACTTACCATTCCATAATTGCCCAATTCCATCTCAAAAATCAATTATCCCATTTAGCAACATCCATCCGTTCTAGATCGACCACGGCCAAATTAGCCCTAGGATAAAATGAATATCCTTCAAGATAATTTTCGTCTCAATCTTCAGATGACTTTTCGGACATTTCAAGAAGTTTGGTCAACCCTGAAACGTCGTCCATCGTCCTAATTCGAAGTGTTTGCGTAGAGCTGATGATATAAGTATTTACATTTACAAAATATGACAGGTTTAAGACCCCTGAGTGTCATACATGAACTAAATGGTAATTTCGTCAGGAAAGGGGGAGGGGGTATTCTATATTTACAAGAAGAATATCAATTTACATGAAGATCATTCTATCTCCAGTAAACCATCTTTGCAGAGCCTTTTCGCTGGCTAATATAGGGTTAAATTTTTTCACCCTCAAAGGAAAGTGTCAATAGGGTCAGTTCTTCTATACATGGTTGTCTAAACGTTGTCACTGGATCTCTTAGTGAGTGGGGTACTCATGATGTCATGTTACTGCTGTTAAAAGATTATTATTAAAGGCCAAGTCTTTTAATTAAAAAGAAGCAAAGATAATAATTAACAATGCAGATTATGTATGACAGGTCAATATCTTTCATGAGCTGCATATAGTATGTAATCTTTTTTGTGTACATCATAGGCGACAGTCAATGATTGGGATGGAAATTACATCAGACGGGGAAGCATACACGACAATGGTAGGCTCCATAGCAACCCATATCAGAGGGCTGGGACTGCCCCCTGTGCCTCCTATGATCGACCCCTCCCCCAGTAAGCTTTAAATACTGATATACTCAACCGCAACAACTTCAACTGACAACGCATGGTTTTAGTGACGAACATAAAAATCTGTTTTGTCTACGAAATGTATTAATAGAGAACCTTTTATCGAGTACAACTTTCTTAATAAGAACCTTATCTTTGTATGAAACTCTTACATGTTTGGGGAACCTATATCCAAAACCTGGAATAACGTAGGTCTGTTCGAACTAACTTGGGGAACTATTCTAAAACCATTTTTATTGACTGATATTATTCTACTTGATAATAATCGACCTTATAATGAGGTGTCGGAGCTAAGGGTATTTCATACATCATTTGGAGTGATGACGTCATCTCACTAAGGACCCCTGCATTGCTCATCCACGGCCACCTGCCGCATCTTCCTAGGTCATGTGACAAATGTCCTGATTTTCCGCTGTCAATTTGTTTTTGAGAATGAGGCCACCGACCTACATCTAAATCTCTTTTAAATACCCTTCTGTTACAGAAAATTCAAAGTGATATGTAACGACTGTTTCTTAGAACACAAGCTCTCAGTTCTGAGGGGGAAATGTGACTTCAATCGATGAAGTGGAGGTCTCTAGTTTTATTCCAGCTCTAATAGTTTGTATCCTACGAATCATTGAGATTCTAATTTTGTAGTTGTACAGTTTTTTACATCGGAGAGATGTGAGGGGCTTCATGCACAAAATTTGTATAGGTCTATTGTATCGAAGGTAAACATCCTTAGACATGGTATTGCCATTTTTTAATTCCTGAAATCCATTGGTTTGAGAATTACCGTCATTTGTCATGTCGCATTCGTCTTTAAAAACCACGCTTTTATCTGCGTATTATTCATTGATTTTGTTTGCATTTAGATCGATGTAAAAATATATTATCTTCTTTGTTAGAGATGTGACGTTGACTTTAATTTAAACGTGTTCTGGAAAATACGGCTTTCCTTAGGGGGGATTATCAACGGCTTGAATACTCAAAGTCTCTTCCCTAAAAATATGACAAATTTGGGAATTGTCACTTGTTTCCTATTTTGTGAAAAGTAGGGCAGCATAAATAAGTTGTTTTGCATTTTTAGCCGCGGGACCTAGCTAGGACTGGATTGAATGATCTCAGAGAGAGGGGATTTATTTCCGAGTTGTCCGTCGTTTTTACGAGGTTTCCTGTCTCCTGATACGTGACGGTCTCGAAGTTAATTATGGACAGAGGTTTATTACTGATAACGGCTTGTTTGTGATCAAATGGCAGTATGACGATTCTTGATATGCTTTAAGATATCCGTTGAAGATCTCTTCATGCTTCCCCTCTCCCTTTATCCATCCTAGCTACCCCCCTCTCCCCCACCCCTATCTATATCCTTCCCTCTCCCATCTTTTTAGCTCTTTATCTCTCTCTCTCTCTCTCTCTCTCTCTTTGTCTTCTCTTCTCTAATCTTTTCCCTTCTCCTCTCCCATCTCTCTTTATCTCTTTTCCTGTTCTCCACCATTCTCTTCATCTTTCAGGTTAGGGCCTCATCATAATTACT